GGGGTGCCTCAACAAACAAACAGCATTCTGGAAAACGTTGTACAAAGTGCAGGCTAAGAATAAAACAGGAAGGCTTGTGACGAAATCTGTCTCCGTGGAGGAAGCGAGGGAGCCCATTCCAAGTAGAAGAGAGGCTTTGGCAGGCTCTCGGGGTAGCGGCTGCCTAGCCATTAAGGCTATTAGATCGTGCCTTGGGATCTCCATAAATCTTCCACGTTGCTTTTTTTTGCTTTTTGGCCTCCTCCGTATTTCTCTGGGCAACGTTTAACGGCAAACGCTCTTATCTCAGGTGATAGCGCTTCTCGGCTGCCGAAGCCAGACAGAAAGCCAACGAACGTTCGGAGGATGCAGGTGAACTTCTACGTTCGCTCCTCGGCGGACCCTGACAGTGGTTGCCGCCTGACCATCGGTGACGAGCAGAGGCTGGACATCTGCAAGTTCAACCTGTCCGCTAAAAGCTTTTTCATCATCCATGGGTGGACGGTAAGTAGGCTGAGATTGGATGTAGCTCTGGGTTGTGATGTAGCTATGGGTCGTTCTTAGCTTAAGAGGAACGGCTCGATTAAGAGAGGAGGAGGAGGAGGAGGAGATTGGATTTATACTCCACCCTTCACTACCCAAGGGAGTCTCAGAGCGGCTTACAAACGCCTTTCCCTTCCCCTCCCCACCACAGAGACCCTGTGAGGCAGGTGGGGCTGAGAGAGCTCTGACAGAAACTGCTCTTTTTCAAGAACAGCTGTGCCAGAACTATGGCTTGCTCAAGGTCATCCAGCAGGTGCAAGTGGAGGAGTGGGGAATCAAACCTGGTTCTCCCAGATTAGAGTCCGCGCACTTAACCACTACACCAAACTGATTAAAGGGGCATGCATGCGCCTCACCGTTTTGCTGGTGGGATGGACTGTGCCACGTCAAACTATAGGGGGAGGGTCCCATTTTGGAATGTTCCCCTATGTTAAAAGAAGAACTTCTTCCAAATGGAAAACCCACACAGCAAAGCGTAGCTTTCCTTACTTCTTTTACTGTTTGTATGGAATTTTTTAAAATTCTGAGAGCCAGTTTGGTGTCGTGTTTAAGTGCGTGGACTCTAATCTGGGGGCCCTGTCCAGTGCTATGCATTCTGTGACAGCCGACATTGTCAGTCTTTCAAGATGCCGCTGGACAACAAACAAGGCCACCTCTCTGGAAAACTAGGGCCTGTAATTCATGTGGGATCCAGTAGAAAATAGGGATGTCTGGAGCATGTGGAATGGGATTTCTTATGGTGGACATAAGAGAAGCCAAGCTGGATCAGGCCAGTGGCTCATCCAGTCAAACACTCTGTATCATACAGTGGCCAAAATCCCGGTGCAACTAGGAGGCCCACCAGAGGGGCCAGAACTCCAGAAGTCCTCCCACTGTGGCCCCCCAAGCACCAAGAAGACAGAGCATCACTGCCCCTAGACAAGAGTGTTCTATCAAGACCTTGTGGCTAATAGCCACTGATGGACCTCTGCTCCATATGTTTATCCAGTCCCCTCTTGAAGTTGTCTGTGCTTGTAGCCACCACCACTTCTTGCAGCAGTGAATTCCATGCATTAACTACTTTTTGGGTGAAGAAGTAATTAACACATGAAATTCACTGCCACAGGAAGTGGCGGCAGCTACAAGCATAGACAGGAAGAACATAGACCGGACTGTGCAGGTCTGGTGAGAAATGCTTAAACACGACCTTCAAGTGCAGTAACGTTCAAGTTTCTGGATGGCCGGGTTATGCATACAGCGGCCTTCTGCCAGTAAGGAAGGAAGTAAAACCAGCTTTTTTTCCAGGTCATTTTTAATTTTTATTATTATTTTCTCAGAAAAAAGGTGGGACATAGAAGGAAAAAGGGGTTGGGGGGAAATATATAAATTCATCAGGTTTGTCAAATAGTATAAGTTGTTACATACAACAAGTAAAATCAGATATATTACCTAATATATTACATATTTCAAATATAGAAGCAGACATTAAAGAATAAGAACTTTCCTAAAGTTAGCGATAATCTATTAACAATAAAAGAAATCACATCTTTAACAACTAAACAGACTTCTATGCTAAAACTGAATCGCTGTAAAATCCTTAATGTTGTCTTAATTGTTTATCTAAATCTAAATTATATTCTTACTAATTATTTAATTACTAGTGGCATACAGAATACCTTCATCACCTTTAATATGATATTCAGGTTATTCCAGAACTTTAAACAGCTTCTTTTTTCCAGATGAGTGGCATGTTTGAAATGTGGCAAGGCAGACTGGTGCAGGCTCTCCGGGAACGGGAGAAGGATGCCAACGTGGTGTTAGTCGACTGGCTCGATTTCGCCCATCAGCTCTACACCCACGCCGTCAATTACAGCCGGGTGGTGGGAAAGGAGTTGGCGACGCTGCTGGACTGTGGCTACAGGTAAAGCTCACAAGAGAAAAAAGCTCTGAGCCCCAAGCAGTTAAAAGTCATGCAAGGCTGCAGCAGCGGGAGCTGGCATCAGACAGAAGCTTTAGAAACACAGAGCTGCCACGCTGCCGGGTTGCAAGCCAGGCTGTGTACCGTCGTGTGGATCTGCAGGGGCAGTGATGGCGTTGGCTTGTGTTTGGCCCTCACTTGCCATGCCATTCAAACCTGCTGCTGTGCCATCGGGAGGGCTGAAAAGCAGGGAGCACTTTCTGTATCCAGTAAATCTTTCCAGCCTGTGCCATTACTTACCATTGCCATCACTTGCCAATAATGACCAACTGCAGAGTTGCCTGTTCTGTCAATGTTCCCTTTTATAAATGGATGGGTGATGCTGGTGGGTTGCAAGCCGGGCTGTGTACCATCGTGTGGATCTGCAGGGGCAGTGATGGCGTTGGCTTGTGTTTAGCCCTCACTTGCCATGCCATTCAAACCTGCTGCTGTGCCATTGGGAGGGCTGAAAAGCAGGGAGCACTTTCTGTATCCAGTAAACCTTTCCAGCCTGTGCCATAACTTACCATTGCCATCACTTGCCAATAATGACCAACTGCAGAGTTGCCTGTTCTGTCAGTGTTCCCTTATATAAATTAATGGGTGATGCTGGCGGGTTGCAAGGGGGGCAGTGATGATGTTGCTCATGTTTAGCTTTCATTTGCTGTGTAGCTCAAATCTGCTGCTGTGCCATTGGGGAGCAGAAATGCTGAGAGCACTTTCTATATTCTGTAAATCCTTCCAGCCTTTGTCATTGCTTACCATTGCCATCACTTACAAAGAATAACTCCTTATAGAGTTGCCTGTTCCCTCAGCATCCTCTTATATAAACTGATGGGTGATTGTTTGCTTCTCTGTGCCCACCCATTCCCCATACTTAGAAGCCGTGGCCAAATGATGCTTGGGAGAAACTTTAATTTTGGAGAGTGCTGGAGGAAAGCATCATAGACCAGGCCAGAGGCATCAAACTTCGCTTCTGTTGCTTTGTGAAACAGGCATGTGGGTGATATCAACAGAGGCATAACATCCAAATCACAAGATGTTACAGTCCCGCTGTACACTGCATTGGTCAGGCCGCACCTGGAGTATTGTGTGGAGTTCTGGAGGTCTCACTTCTAAAAGGATGTAGACAGAATGGAGTGGATGCAGAGGAGAGTGACGAGGATGATTGGGGGCCTGGAGACCAAGCCCTATGAGGAAAGGCTGAGGGACTTGGGGATGTTCAGTCTGGAGAAGAGAAGGTGGAGGGAGGACACGATTGCTCTCTTGAAGTATTTGAAGGTCTGTCACTTAGAGGAGGGTAGGCAGGGGGCTGTTCCTGTTGGCAGCAGAGGAGAGGACTCGCAATCATGGGTTTAAATTAAGGGCAGGAAGGTACTGGCTGGATATTAGGAAAAACATTTTGACAGTCAGAGTTGTGCCACAGTGGAATCAGCTGCCTAGGGAGGTGGTGAGCTCCCCCTCCCTGGCAGTGTTCAAGCAGCGGCTGGACAAAGACTTGTCAGGGATGCTCTAGGCTGATCCTGCATTGAGCAGGGGGGTGGACTAGATGGTCTCTATGGCACCTTCCAACTTTATGATCCTACGGTTCTTTGTAGTAGATATCTGAACCTGTCTTGCTTGGCTGGACATACAGTGTGCATGCTTCTTTCTCTGGCAGAAATTCTTGCAAAGTCTTCTGTCATGTAACGACAGGTATGAATTCCCCCAGTTTGGTGTAGTGGATAAGTGTGCGGACTCTAATCTGGGAGAACCGGGTTTGATTCCCCACTCCTCCACTAGCACCTGCTGATGTGACCTTGGGTCAGTCACAAGCTCTGGCACAGCTGTCCTTGAAAAAGAGCAGTTTCTGTCAGAGCTCTCTCAGCCCCACCCACCTCACAGGGTGTCTGTTGGGGGAGGGGAAGGGAAAGGAGTGTGTAAGCCGCTCTGAGACTCCAAGTGAAGGGCGGGGTATAAATCCAATCTCCTCCTCCTCCTCCTCCTCCTCCTCTTCTTCCTCTTCCTCTTCTTCTTCTTCCTCTTCTTCTTCTTCCCACCCACAAACGCCTGGCTGATCCAGTTCACTTTGCCCTTGCAGGAGAAAGAGCATTTCCAGCTGCAGAACGTCCACTTGCTCGGCTACAGTCTTGGCGCGCACGTGGCTGGCTTTGCCGGGAACTATGTTCGTGGGACCATAGGCAGGATTACAGGTAAGGGTGCCAGCAAAAGACCTTCCCAGCCTTAAACCTTCTCTTGTCCCCAGTGACACAACCGATACTTGAGCTGCCTCTCTGGCATGAGGAGCCTGGCAGTTGACAAACAGAACTTTTCCCTCCTTCTCCCCACATACTAGACTTTGAGGGCATCCAGTGAAGCTGATGGGCAGTAGGTTCAGGACGGACAAAAGGAAATACTACTTTACACAGGAAGTGATTAAAATGGGGAATTCGCTGACAGAAGACATAGTGATGGCCAGAAGCATAGACAGCTTTAAAAGGGAATTAGTCAGATTCATGGATGATAGGTCGATTAGCGGCTGCTAGCCCTGGTGACAAAGGGGAACCTCCATGTTCAGAGGCAGTCAACCTCTGATTCCCAGTGCCAAGAGGCAGCATCGGGGGAAGCCTCAGCCTCTATGCCCTGTTGTTGGCCATCCAGAGGAACTGGTTGGCCATTGTGTGAGACAGGATGCCAGACTAGGTGGACCACTGGTCTGACCCAGCAGGGCTCTTCTGATGTTCTTACGGAGGCCTCGGCCTCTCTGTCCTGTTGTTGGCCCTCCAGAGGAACTGGTTGGCCACTGTGTGAGACAGGATGCTGGGCTAGATGGACCACTGGTCTGATCCAGCAGGGGTCTTCTTAAGTTCTTATGAGGCCTCGGCCTTTCTGCCCTGTTGGCCATTCAGAGGAACTGGTTGGCCACTGTGTGAGACAGGATGCCGGACTAGATTGATCATTGGTCTGACCCAGCAGGGCTTTTCTGATGTTCTCGGCCTCTCTGCCCTGTCATTGGCCCTCCAGAGGAACTGGTTGGCCACTGTGTGAGACAGGATGCCGGACTAGATAGACCACTGGTCAGATCCACCAAGGCTCTTCTGATGTTCTTACGAAGGCCTCAGCCTCTCTACCCTGTTCTTGGCCCTCCAGAGGAGCTGGCTGGCCACTGTGTGAGACAGGATGCCGGACTAGATAGACCACTGGTCTGACCCAGCAGGGCTCTTCTGATGTTCTTATGAAGGCCTCGGCCTCTCTGCCCTGTCGTTGGCCCTCCAGAGGAGCTGGCTGGCCACTGTGTGAGACAGGATGCTGGACTAGATGGACCACTGTTCTGATCCAGCAGGGTTCTTCTGATGTTCTTTTGTTCTTAAGTACTAACCATGACTCACTGATGCTTCAGGAATGGACCCAGCCGGCCCGATGTTTGAAGGAGTCGAGCCCGACAAGCGCCTCTCTCCTGATGATGCGGACTTTGTGGACGTCTTGCACACGTACACGAGAGAAGCCCTGGGTGTCAGCATCGGGATCCAGATGCCCATAGGTCACATTGATGTCTACCCCAATGGAGGAGATGTCCAGCCAGGGTGCACCTTGACCGACGTCTTGGGGTCACTCGCCTACGGGAGTAAGTTCTTCTGCTTTCTTAAAGGTGGAGTTTCTGAAGCTGCAGTTCACGGACTCAGCCATATTGGATAACTTGTGATTACTGCTGGTCAGGGCCAGCTATTGGGAGCATCCAACCAGTGTTCCCTCTAAGCCGAGTTAGTATGAGCTGGTTTAGAGTTTTTTAGCCTCCGGCTCGCACATTTTTGTCTCAGCCCAGGAAGGACGGCTCCAGGACTTTCTTAAAGGTGGAGTTTCTGAAGCCGCAGTTCACAGACTCCGCCATATTGGATAGCTTGTGATAACTCCACTGCTGGTCAGGGCCAGCTATTGGGAGCATCCAACCAGTGTTCCCTCTAAGCCGAGTTAGTATGAGCTGGTTTAGAGTTTTTTAGCCTCCGGCTCGCACATTTTTGTCTCAGCCCAGGAAGGACGGCTCCAGGGCAAACTATGCAGCAGCCAAATGGCTCGCTCCCAACTTTAATGCCAGTAGCTCACAAAGTAGATTTTTTGCTCCCAAGACTCCACAGCTTAGAGGGAGCATTGCATCTAACCCCAATATTATAGCAAATACACGGGCTACCTATCTGCTCCCGAGCCCAATCCGATGGGTTGTTTTTTACTTTTAAAGCCCTCTATGGCTTGGGGCCGGAGAATCTGAAGGACAGTCTTCTCCTGTACATTCCTGCCCAGCACGATCACAGGGAGAGGCCCTCTTGGCCTTCCCATCGACCGAGGAAGCTCATCTGCTGGGTACACGAGTGAAGGCCTTTTTCGTGGCAGCCCCACAGTAATGGAACGGAACAGGCTTCCCAGGGGAGGTGTGCCCGGCCCCCTCCCTTCCGATCTTTAGGAGGCAGTTGAAGACGATTTTATTCAGGACAGCATTTGATTAGGTTCGGTTCTTGTGCCTACCCTTGTTTTTAAAGTATTGCTTTTAAATTAGTGGGTGTTTTATGTATTCTCTCCTGTTTCCATTGTAAGCTGCCTTGCATTCTTGCAAGGTAGAAGGCACCTAATAATTGTTTTAGATATATAAATTAAAAACTTGTCGTGGATAAGTTGGGGCCAATAGGTGGAAACCTCCAGCGGTGAAATATTTCCCAGCTTGGGACCCTTGCTTTTAAAGTATTGCTTTTAAATTAGTGGGGGTTTTATTTATTTTATTCTGTTCTGCTTCCATTGTAAGCTGCCTTGCGTTCCTGCAAGGTAGAAGGCACCTAATAAGTGTTTTAGATAGATAAATAAAAACCTACCATGGATAAGTTGGAGCCAATAGGTGGAAACCTCCAGCGGTGAAATATTTCCCAACTTGGAACCCTTGCTTTTAAATGAATGGGGGTTTTATTTATTTTATTCAGTTCTGTTTCCATTGTAAGCTGCCTTGCGTTCCTGCAAGGTAGAAGGCACCTAATAAGTGTTTTATATAGATAGATAAAAACTTGTTGTGGATAAGTTGGGTCCAATAGGTGGAAACGTAGAACTTTAAGCATTCAAGTTAAGCAAATGGGTTGGTGAGGCGATGTTCCGTTCTTCTCCAGCCCAGCTGACAATATACAGGATTTCTGTCTGCCACTAATGTACAGGGCTGCTTCTCTCTAGAAAACTTGCACATGCATGTGTTTGCATTTATTTATTTATATCCTGCTTTTGTCCCGAGTTGGGAGTCATTCTGGCTTAGAACGTTGTTCTCCCCTCCTCTGTTCTCTCACAACAACCCTGTGGAGTAGGCCAGGCTGAGAGATTGTGAGTGTCCCGAGGTCACCCTGTGAGCTTCAGTGGTAGTGGTGGGGTCCTAGCTTGCCACTCTATCCACTATCCCACACTTTGGGTCAAAGGTTCCTCCCCCTGGGGTATTCTACGCTACTTTCCTGAATGTTCAAGTCATTTCTATGTGGAAAGTTACCATTTTTACTCATGGAAGGATCAAAACATACCCCCCCTCGAAACGCAAACCAGTACTCTTTCGAGTTGCTGCCCTTGGATGATTGGCACCCTTTTAATCCTATGTAACAACTTTACAGGGGCCGTGGTGGCTCAGAGGTTAAGACACTGAGTTGCAGACCAAAAGTTCAGTAGCTCGGCAGTTTGAGACCTGAGTGCCGCGTGACAGAGTGAGCGCCTGTCTCTGGCCCCAGCTCCTGCCAACCTAGCAGTTCGAAAGCAAGAAATTGCAAGTAGATAAATAGATGGCACTTCAGTGGGAAGGTAACAGCGTTCCATGTGCCTTGGCGTTTAGTCATGCCAGCCGCATGACCATGGAGACGTCTTCGGACAGTGCTGGCTCTTCGGCTTGGAAAGGGAGATGAGCACCACCCCCTAGAGTCAGATTCGACTGGCTTTCGAGCAAGGGAAACCTTTACTTTTACCTAACAACTGTACTCGAAATAAACTTATGCATGAAATCTTTGTAACACATTTGACCATTCCTGTATTTAGGGTTTACTGTCCCGTTTCAATTTACGATCCCTTTCTGTGTCCTCATGTAAACATTTCTGGCCACAGGCCTGACTCTGGTTCCTTTGCCAATCTTGGCTCGTGTGGAACTACAGAGAACCTGTAAATCTGACCACATTGTGGGGGAGGGGGGAGCCTCTTCCTTTTTTGCTGTGGTGAAGGATAGTGACCGTCTGGTTTTTTGTCGTTGTTGTGGTTCAGTCGCACAGTCGGAAAATGGAAAGACTTTTTGGAGATGTATAAATGTATCTTTTATCTATTATATTCTATGTACATAATGTAAAGGTGAAAATCTGGAAAATAAATTTCTTAAAAAAAAAGATAACACTGCCTAACCAGCTCATCCTTTGCCGTCTGGTTTTTGCAGACTCATAAATGGGTGCCTGTTTTTTTCCCTCCCACCACCACCACTGTAGATTTCGGGGACGCAGTCCAGTGCGAACACGAGCGCTCCGTGTTCCTCTTTGTTGACTCGCTGGTCAACCAGGATAAGCAAAGCTTCGCCTTCCAGTGCACTGACTCCAGCCGCTTCAAGAAAGGGATCTGCTTGAGCTGCCGGAAGAATCGCTGCACCGGCATCGGCTACAACGCCAAGAAGATGCGCAACAAGAGGAACAGCAAGATGTATTTGAAAACGCGGGCCGACATGCCTTTCAGAGGTGGGCTCCCCCCTCCGTCTTCCCCCCTGGTCCCTAGCAGTGTTCCCTCTAAGCTGAGTTAATGCGAGCTAGCTCACAGTTTTTTAAGCCTCCAGCTCACAGATTTTTGCCTCGACTCAGGGAGGATGGCTCCAGAGCAATGTTCCCTCCAAGCTATTGAGTCTTGTGAGCAAAAACTCTACTTTGTGAGCCAATAGCATTAAAGTTGTGAGCGTGCCATTTGTCTGCTGCATAAATTAGTTTGCTCTGGAGCCATCCTTCCTGAGCAAAGACAAAAATCTGTGAGCTGGAGGCTAAAAAACTGTGAGCTAGCTCACACTAACTCAGCTTAGAGGGAACACTGCTCCAGAGCAAACTAATTTATGCGGTAGCCAAATTGCTCACGCACAACTTTTAATGCCAGGAGCTCACAAAGTAGAATTTTTGCTCACAGGACTGCACAGCTTGGAGGGAGCATTGGTCGCTAGATAATTTTATTTATTTTGCGGAGGATGCCGCCTTTAACGTCTGAAATACGGGGAGTACCACAGCTGGAAGACTGCTTGTGGTGCGTCACTGATGCACCCTGGTTGGCTCTCTCTCTTTCTCTCTCCCTCTCCCATTGTTTAGGAAGAGGACAAATGATAGGTAGGGGGAGGGAAGGGGACAGACAACAGGCAGTCCCACAAGCTGAAAGTGTGTCACCCCTTAGATCCTAGGCAGTGGGAAACGGGCAGTCCGTAGGGTTGCCAACTTTGGGTTGGCGAAATACCTGGAGATTTGGGGGGGGGGTGGAACCTGGAGAGGACAGGGTTTGTGGAGAGGAGAGACCTCCGCATGGTGCAGTGGCAGAGAGTTCACTCTCCAAAGCAACCATTATCTCCAGCGGGACTGATCTCTGTTGTCTGGAGATCAGTTGTAATAGCAGGAGATCTCCAGGACCCGCCTGGAATTTGGCAACTCCGGCAGTCAGTCACGTTCATCTGAAAGTCAAACTAGATGTTACATTAGACCGGAGGGTGGGCGCAGGGATATAGGGGGGAGGCGGGTGATGGCGTGACCTCACTTCTGGGGAAAACCTGGAAGTGACACCACGCTTTTCTAGGAATCCCCGGAAACTCCATGGTAAAACCATAGAGTTTGCAGCTATTCCTAGAAAGGAATGGACTCGTTTCCGGGGTTTCCTCATAAGTGACATCACACCGTTGGCCTGACAGTGGGAAACGGGAGTGGCAGTGGGAAACGGGAGCTGGGGTCTTGGGTGGAGACCTGGCAACCAGTGTTCCCGCTAAGCTGTGGAGTCTTGTGAGCAAAAATTCTACTTTGTGAGCTACTGGCATTAAAGTTGTGAGCAAACAATTTGGCTACTGCATAAATTAGTTTGCTCTGGAGTCCTCCTTCCTGAGCTGAGACAAAGATGTGTGAGCTGGAGGCTGAAAAACTGTGAGCTAGCTCACATTAACTCAGCTTAGAGGGAACACTGCTCTGGAGCCATCCTTCCTGAGCTGAGACAAAGATGTGTGAGCTGGAGGCTGAAAAACTGTGAGCTAGCTCACATTAACTCAGCTTAGAGGGAACACTGCTCTGGAGCCATCCTTCCTGAGCTGAGACAAAGATGTGTGAGCTGGAGGCTGAAAAACTGTGAGCTAGCTCACATTAACTCAGCTTAGAGGGAACACTGCTGGCAACCCCTGTGTTACATAGTCTCTTGGGGGGTGTTTTTAATTAACAGCAGCTATGGGACAGGGTGAGTGGGAATGGAGGCACAACAAGAGGGCGGCTTGACCCACTGGGGCGGGGGCTATCTTGAATGGAATAATGGCTGGAGGAGAAGGTTAAGCAGCCCCTTCTCCCTCGTTCCTTCAATCATACCTACAACCTTCCCACAGCTGCTTTTCATTAAAAGCAGGTGTTTCACGTTATGGCTCATTTGGCCTCCAGCTGGGTTCAGGTTCTCCGATCCAGCTGCGAGAGCCACACCTGACTGGTGACACCAGGCCCCTCTTGGGCCAACGCCTCCCTTTCCCCTGCTCCTCGTCTGTAATTTTCCTGCATACCAATAAGGCAAATGATTTTCTTTCTTTGCATTGCATCTGAGGAAGCGAGCTCTGACTCACGAAAGCTCTCGCTGTACGAAATGTTGTTAGTCTTGGAGGAGCTGCTGGGCTTGTGTTCTGTTTTGCTACAGTTGACTCACACGGCAACCCCTCTGGACCGGTCTTTTCCATCACAACTGTGCCACCTCCCTGATTGTCCCTAGAAAACCGTGCTTTTCCCTAGAGCGCTACTGGCCTGCCTGGCTACTTCTGAATTTGTTCTGCTTTCCACCTTACAATCTGAGCAAAGAAAGGCTCAGGTGTCAGCATCCCAGCCTGCAGTGCAAAACTGGGGAACTTGCAAGGCAATCAGCTAGCGGAAGGAGCACTGGCCGCCGCTTGAAACTCAGCTGCGGGTCCATCGCAGCTCCGTGCTAAGTGTCCGCCCTTGTGTCCCCGCAGTTTATCACTACCAAATGAAAATACACGTCTTCAGCTACAAGAACTTGAAAGACACCGAGCCCGCCTTCTCTGTGACGCTGCACGGCACCAACAGTGACTCCCAGCCCCTGCCTCTGGAAATGTGAGTGGCCTATCGACACCCCTTGTCTTTGTTTCGTGGCTTCTAAATCTGTTGTTCCAAAGCAATTCCTTCAGGCTTCTCTCCTTCACATCAGTTCACCGTCATGAAGCTTAGGGTGTTCTATCTGGGCTTCAGTTGTACAGAGAACAGCCCAGCTTCACAGGAAGCTTTGGGGTAAAGTTAGGTGCCAGCTTCCCCACTATGAATTGGAGGGACTGGAGCATAAAGTTATCTTTGGGGTCATTGAAGAGTCTCCATCCACTGGTGTCTTTAGGGTGCAGACGAGTGACCATCTCTTGGGAATGGCTTAAAGCTAGAAAGTTGAGTTAGACCAGGGTTTCCTAACATGGTGCCCGTTGGCACCATCGTGCCTACAAGTGTTTCCCTTGGCACCCGCCAAGCTTTTCAAAAGAGTTTTCGGCTAAACGTTAGGAAGAACTTCCGGGCAGTTAGAATGGTTCTTCAGTAGAACAGGCTTCCTGGGGAGGTAGTGGGCTCTCCTTTGGGGGTTTTCCAGCAGGGGCTAGAGGGCCATTTGACAGCAATGCAGATTCTGTGAACTGAGGCAGATCGTGAGAAGGGAGGGCAGGATGGGTTGCCTCAGTGCTTAGTTCTCGTGGCCCTTTCTTACACGCCCAGGGAAATGCCGATCGCCACTTTGGGGTCAGGAAGTGATTTTTCTCCAGGCCAGTTTGGCCAGGCACCCTGGTGGGTTTTTGTCATCTTCTGGGTGTCATAGCTCATGGAAAAAACAGTTTGATTCGGGAGTTATTTGTGAACCTCCTGCATTGTGCAGGGGGTTGGACTAGATGACCCTGGAGGTACCTTCCAACTATCATTCTGTGGCTTGTTATTGGCTACCCTCATTCAAATGAAAGGGTTTTCCATTAGAAGATGAGGAAGGCTTCCTTAGTCAATGTGTGGTTCCCTTTGTTCCTCAGTATTTCCTTCATCCCAGAAGATGTGAGGAGGGAGGTATTCTGTTTGGGTCTGCCTCCTGAGGCAGCCATTTGGGGTTTGGTTCTACCTCATGTGGCAGCCATTTTGGGGTGGTACTCAACAACCTTTGGGACTCTCAAAATCCCAAAGATGCTCGCAGGCTCAAAAAGGTTGGGGGACCCCTGAGATAGACCCTACCTCCAGGGAGCAGGGGGTTGGACTAGATGACCCTGGAGGTACCTTCCAACTATCATTCTGTGGCTTGTTATTGGCTACCCTCATTCAAATGAAAGGGTTTTCCATTAGAAGATGAGGAAGGCTTCCTTAGTCAATGTGTGGTTCCCTTTGTTCCTCAGTATTTCCTTCATCCCAGAAGATGTGAGGAGGGAGGTATTCTGTTTGGGTCTGCCTCCTGAGGCAGCCATTTGGGGTTTGGTTCTACCTCATGTGGTAGCCATTTTGGGGTGGTACTCAACAACTTTGGGACTCTCAAAATCCCAAAGGTGCTCGCAGGCTCAAAAAGGTTGGGGACCCCTACCTTCAGGGGAGCCAACTGCCATTTTAAAACCTGAGATGGATGACTTAAAAATGCCACGAGACTGGGCCCACGGTGTGGTCGAATGAGGCACTCCTGTTTCCCTCCTGCACATTTTCAAGGGCCTAAACAGCTGCAAGTGAAGCTGTTTCAGCACTCGCAAAGGACCTGAGGGGAAAAGGTTGCCAGCTCTGGGCTGGAAAATACTGGGAGATTTTTGGGGGTGGAGCCTGAGGAAGGCGGGGTTTGGGGAGAGGAGGGATCTCAGTGGGATAGGATGTCATAGAGTCCACCTTCCAAACTGGCCATTTTCTCCAGGTGATCTGATCTGTTGCCTGGCGATCAGTTGTAATAACAGAAAACCTCCAGCTACCACCTGGAAATTGGCAACCATGCTGGGGGGGAGGACAAGAGTGTCTCCTCGTACCATGGTGCGGGCTCAGTCAGGATCAGGCCCTCACAGCATTTTTAAAGTAGCTCATCAGGCTTTAAAATGGTGGCAGCATTGCTGTGGCAGACATGGGGACACCGTCGCGTCTGGTTTGGCCCTCTCCATGACCCGGTAGCAGGTCCTTCCAAAACACAGCAGATATTGCATGTGGGGTCTCTGTGACGCCCTTGAGTATCAAAACCCCATGACTACTTCTGGAGTTCTGGCCCCGCTGGTGGACCTCCTGATGGCACCTGGGTTTTGGCCACTATGTGACTCAGAGTGTTGGCGTGGATGGGCCATTGGTCTGATCCAACATGGTTTCTCTAATGTTCTTAAGAGCAGAGATCCAGGAGTGCCTGTTAGCCACAAGGTATAGAGGGAACACTCTGTCTGGGGCAGTGATGCTCTGTATTCTTGGTGCTCCTGATGGAACCTGGCTTTTGGGCACTGTGTGACACAGTGTTGGACTGGATGGGCCACTGGCCTGATCCAACACGGCTTCTGTTATGTTCTCTTTTTTTAATATAAATTTTATTGAATTTTTAGAACAACAACATATAAAATTACAATAACAAGAAAGTCATAAGATACAGTCGTATTACGAACATGAATAAGAAAAAGGAATTATGCCTAATACGAAAATACAATACTATTAGTAGAAAATATTTTTAAACCAACTTATTTAACTTCTGTTATGTTCTTAAGAGCAGAGGTCCATGAGTGGCTATTAGCCACAAGGTATAGATGGAACACTCTGTCTGGGGCAAGTGAGGCTCTGTATTCTTGGTGTTTGGGGGACAACAGTTGGCAGGGTTTCTGAAGTTCTGGCCCCACTGGTGGACCTCCTGATGGCACCTGGTATTTCTGGCCACTGTGTGAGACAGAGTGTTGGATTGGATGGTCCATTGGCCTGATCCAGCATGGCTTCTCTTATGTTCTTAAGAGCAGAGGTCCATGAGTGGCTATTAGCCACAAGGTATAGATGGAACACTCTGTCTGGGGCATGTGATGCTCTGTATTCTTGGTGTTTGGGGGACAAGAATGGGAGAGTTTCTGAAGTTCTGGCCCCACTGGTGGACCTCCTGATGGCACCTGGTATTTCTGGCCACTGTGTGAGACAGAGTGTTGGATTGGATGGTCCATTGGCCTGATCCAGCATGGCTTCTCTTATGTTCTTATGTAGGGTTCTAACGTGCGTGCTTGGCTGAACAGAGAATGCCCCCCTAGGACAATGCTGGCGTTCCTTTGCCTTTGCACTTTACAGAGGAAGCTATCAACGTTTTCAGAGCAGTTTGCAATCTGGATCCAGGGACCGATGGCCTCTAGAGACAAGCGACATCAGACAAAGATGAGTAGGTTCACCCTTGGGCTGCTATGTGTCCTTAACATGACTTCTTGGGCTTCTCCTTTCAGATACGGGCAGATAGGACTGAACTTCACCAACACCTTCCTGGTGTACACCGAAGAAGACGTGGGAGACATCCTGAAGCTCAAGCTCATGTGGGCAGGGTCCACTCAGACGTGGTACGGCCTGTGGAAGGAGCTCAGGAGCTACTGGGTTCAGCCTGACAATTCCCAAAAGGAGCTTCAGATCCGGCGTATCCGTGTGAAGTCTGGAGAAACTCAGAAGAAGTAAGCACGGAGGCGATGGTGTTGGGAGACGGACCCATTGGGGTGGGGCCAGAACACGGCCTGTGTCCAGCCATGCAGTTCCTCTGCTGTAATTAGGGTTGGCAGGTCGCCCGTTCAGGTGGCAGCGTCCCGACCCACATTCCAGCCCCCCTCCCTCACTTAGTGTAGCCGCAGGAGCAAAATTGGGAGTTGGTCATGACAGCGTGCAATACTGTGACATCACTTCCAGGTGTCAGTCCCCAGAAGCAACAGCGCAATGACAGTGACGCTCTAGGAATGTCCTAATCTGACACTCTGACGGCTACAGTTTGAAAGCCAGTTTGGTGTCGTGGTTAAGTGCGCGGACTCTAATCTGGGAGAATCAAACCCGGACTCTAATCTGGGAGAACCGGGTTTGATTCCCCCTCTCCTCCACTTGCACCTGGCTGGATGACCTCAGGCAAGCCATAGTTCTGTCAGAGTTGTTCTTGAAAAAGAGCAGTTTCTGTCAGAGCTCTCTCAGCCCCACCTATCTCACAGGGTGTCTGTTGTGGGGAGGGGAAGGGAAAGGAGTTTGTAAGCCGCTCTGAGACTCCGAGTGAAGGGCAGGGTATAAATCCAATCTCCTCCTCCTCCTCCTCTTCTTCTCCCTGGCTCTCAGTATCAAATGTAATAGATCCAAAGGAGTTAGCCGTGTTAGTCTGTTGCTGCAAAATAGTAAAAAGCCCATCTGACGAAGAGAGCTGTGTTTCTCAAAAGCTTATTCTACAATAATGTTTGTTATTCTTAAAAGTGCTACTGGGCTTTTTAATATCAAATGTAAGATGATGTGGCCAAGTATCTGGGAGACCCAAAGTTCACTTCCCCACCTGGCCATGGAAGCTTATAGAATCATAGAGTTGGAAGGGACCTCCCAGGTCATCTAGTCCAACCCCCTGCATAAGGCAGGAAATTCACAAATACCTCCCCCTCCACACCAATAGTAAACGCTGTTCCAAGCTTTTTGAGTGACTTCTTGTTTTCTGTCGCCTCAGGAGGTCAGACCAGAACCAATAGGTTGAAATCAGAAGAGTTTTCGGCTAAACATTAGGAAGAACTTCCTGACAGAGTGGTTCCTCAGTGGAACAGGCTTCCTCGGGAGGTGGTGGGCTCTCCTTCTTTGGAGGTTTTGAAGCAGAGGCTAGATGGCCATTTGACAGCAGTGCTGATTTGGTGAATTTAGACGGATTGTGAGAGGGAGGGCAGGAAAGGTTGCCTCAGTGCTCAGTTCTCGTGGCCCTTTCTTACACGCCCAGAGAAATGCTGATCACCACTTTGGGGTCAGAAGCAATTTTTCTCCAGGACAGTTTGGCTGAAGATCCTGGATGGTTTTTGGCCATCTTCTGGGCATCGAGGGAGGGCCACTGGGGGTTGTGTCTGTGTGGCGCTTGTGAACTTCCTGCCTTGTGCAGGGGGTTGGACTAGATGACCCTGGAGATCCCTTCCAGCTCTATGATTCTATGACTTAAGGCCAGCCACTCTCGGCCTAACCTACCTCACAGGGTTGTTGCTGTGAGAATGAAATGGAGGCGGGGAGAACAGTGTTGTAAGCCACTTTGGGTCCCCAGAGGAAAGCAGGGTATAAATAAATAATACGCCTCGCCGAACTGGACCAAGATCTTTCTAGTTCTGCGTCCTTTTGCTAACAGATGTCTCTGGGAAGCTGGCAAGCAGAGCACGAAGGCGAATCTGGGATTTGTGGTATGCTGCCTTTGTAAATGGAGGTTCTGTTTGCCTAATGTCTGAGATAGATGTTGAATGAATGGTCTTGGCATGCTGCCGGCTTTTTTAGTTCAGTGGGTGAGCAAATGGCCCTCTTTCTCTGGCAATTAACAATTTAACCACTGCCTGTTGTTACAAGACACGCGCCTTGTAAAATGGCTACTGCACTTCCCCTCCGGAATCCTTTTTGCAGCCTCTTAGGTCCAATTTCTTTTGGCTTGCTTTCCAGACTCACTTTTTGTGCAGAGGACCCCCAGTTGACCAACATCTCTCCTGGCAAAGAGCTCTGGTTTGTGAAATGTCGAGACGGCTGGCAGGTGAAGAACCGAACCAGGCAAGTCTCGATGGTAGCCTAACCTCTGAAACATCAGCTCCGCCTGCAGTTCTCGAGCTGGGTCATGACTAAGGTTCCCATTTGCCCGCTTATAGCAGGACACCCCCAGCCAATTGCTCCTAATCAGCTGATTTTGGAACACTCTGACTGGGGCAGAGATGCTCTGTACTCTTGGTGCTTGGGGGGGGGGCAACAGTGGGAGGGCTTCTGGAGTTCTGGCCCCACTTGATGGACCTCCTGATGGCACCTGGGTTTTGGCCACTGTGTGACACAGCGTGTTGGACTGGCTGGGCCACTGGCCTGATTTCTCTTATGTTCTTAAGAGCAGAGGTCCATGAGTGGCTATTAGCCACAAGGTATAGATGGAACACTCTGTCTGGGGCAAGTGATGCTCTGTATTCTTGGTGCTTGGGGGGCAACAGTGGGAGGGCTTCTGGAGTTCTGGCCCCGCTGGTGGATCTCCTGATAGCACCTGGGTTTTATTGCCACTGTGTGACACAGAGTGTCGGACTGGATGGGCCAATAGCCCAATCCAACATGACTTCTCTTAAGTTCTTATTAGTGGTTGGAAATTGGGGCCAAAGGTGTGTGGGAGACCATTCTGGGGAGAAAAATGAAAAAGAAAAATGAGGCCTTGGGTACTTACCAGAAGTTGTGACTATAGAGTTCTTGAGAATTCCTAGAGCTGTCAGGAGGTGACATGGGGAACTCCGGCAATTGCTAGAAACTCTGTGGTGATCTTACCACGGCTGGTGCATGAAAGAGAATATGTCTCTGGACTTTAGGGCAGCGCTGCTGCTATCACAGCCAATAGTTCAGGCTGTTAAATCCCAGTGCAATTAATAGGACTAGACTGTCTGTTATCTATATGCCGGATTGCAAGTAGTTTTGCAACCCGAATAAGGAATGCTGATAAATTTAGCAGAAGTTTGCTGAAAGGTTATTTGGAACGTGCAGTTTCTGTTCACAGAAGCCAGAAAGGGTGTAAAAGGGAGCGAGTCTGAGCACAGGAGCTGAGACAACGTGCTGTAACTTGGCAAGCTGCTCTACCACAATGAAATTTAATGAATGCAATTTGGGTAATCTCGTGGCACTTTGCCTAGTAGATATTCACGTCTCTAACCTTGAAGCTTTTGACCAAAGAATGTGGTAAAGACAGGAGCTGGTGTGGAATTCTACAGCTGTGGATACATTCCTTGGCACTGTCCCTTAACAAAACCAACCCCCCCCCCCCCCCCGAGCCACAATGGCAGCATAAGTGACAGGATGGCAGACCATCAAGGAATCCCAGGGTCACTGTGCAGAGGCAGGCA